TTTAGAGTTTTGACTGTGTATATACAGAGCTCTCCAAACTTGGAATCGTAGTGTACACTTTAAACTGTGAAAAACTTATAAAGTTTGTCCTCAAAATCGTTATAACACATTGCCGCTCCCGTCACGCAACGGTACCGTTGTCGAAACTCCTCTTTGAGAAGTGATAACACTATAACTCCTGACACATCTACTCCCGTGCCTGGTAGTTGACAGTAGACTTCACACCACGGCAAACCTGTTAAAACGGTAACTCAATTCGTGGTGTAGCACAAAAAACCTGCTCGCTACGCATACGGTACCGTTGCCATCGTATACTACTGTAGGGGTATTAACCGTATCTTCATGACAAATCCCGGACTGGTAGTCGGTAGTATACTGTCAGACCACGGGGCGAAAACTGCTATCAGTAACTCCAATTGTCTTTGTAGCACATAAAACGCTCCCTAAAGCAACGGTACCTATTGCCGTATGCATACTCTAGAGTCTAAAGTACATCTACAGAGACTCTTAAGTTGTTCATATATATTCACTGTTCTAACCATGCTACGCTGGCACAGGTAACCTCATGTCGCTGTGGCACGACAATACCGCTCCCTAGGCAATCGGTACCATTGCGGTATAAATTCATTGTACGCCTAACTGCATCTCGACCAAGTCCCGGGCGACACAATATAGTAGTCACTTCTAAACCACAGCAAGACTCGTACAGTCAAACTTAATACTGTAAGTAGCATAAGGTACGCTCCCTCACCCGGACCCACAGCTCGTCAAGCCCCCGCCGCCTTGCGTTGCGCTTGAAACGCGACGGTTTCAGTGCCAGCGCGGACACTCTTGCTTTTTTTCAAAGGCACTTATTGAAATCTAGCGGGTTTTTTCAAGGCACTATTGAAATCTAGCGGGTACAACAGCCTCCTTCCGATGGGCTGCTTAAACCTCAGCAATGCTTATTTAAGGGATCCTTCTCAAGCAATTTCACCGCCTACCTGCGCTTCTAGTCTTACCGGCCTGAACCGACATGCAATTAAAATAATAAGGGGTTCTCCGAAAAAACGAGCAGAGGCGTGGGCCGAATCTATACGCCATCGCTCAAAGCAACCAAAGTGCACTTTCAAATATCAATCATCCTCATTGCAATATTTATATGCCTTCACCAGCCAGATGCGTTAAAAATGCCGATTTCAAGGAACCATGGTTAATGTGTAGCGATAAAGCTGCTGAACACTACGCGTACGCCCTTTACACCATCAAAGTTGTGTACCACCGCCGCGCTCGCTGAGCCAACCGCACCCGATGGATGACAGTACTAAATCCGGTGAACCGGCAGAAAACGGGCAAAACACACCCAAAACGTACCAATAGCGAAGCGCAACGCTCGCTGATTTAACTAGATGGCTATAAGTTAGTACGCTCAACGTCAGTGCAACACGCTTCGGGTGCACTGACCCGAGTGCGCCGGATAGTGGGCAGTACCTAAAGGCTTGGAAAAGACACGAAAACGGCCAGCAAAAGGGACAAACACACACAAAGCGTTCCAAAATACCAGCGACGCGCCTGGGCTAAAGTTAATCCAAGAAGCACGGCTGGATACCAGAGTCCTGGGATTATTACGAAGTGTATTGTTGGATGTTGAATTTCAACCGATTATGAGTAACTTTTTATTAACACCACTTGTAAAAGTATTTACAAGTTTGGGATGTTATAGGTGTACTACCCTCTGTAAAAAAAAAACCGATGGGGAATTTAGTGTGGTACACCGGGGTCGGATTAATAGATTTCTACCACGTCTAACATAGATTTCCTACCACGTCTCGTTGCTATGGTAACTAAATGGTCGCCGTGAAACACGGTTCTCTCATAACTCCAGTTAACTTGCTCCAAACGGCCCAAAACTTCACAGGTTTGATAACGATGCAGCCCTCAACACATCTAGGCGTATTATGGGGTGTCATCAAATTCCGTTGCCATGGCGACAGATCACTCCCAATCAAACACAATGTTTGTGATACTGCTGTAACTCCTGTGTACGTTGTCCGATCGGCCTGAAACTTCCCACGTTTGCCAACGGCCGAGTCCTCGAGACATCTGCCTGACGTCGACGTGCGGACAACAGCCTGCGGAGCGTCGAAGACCCGCTCAACGCTGCTCGCAGCTTTAATTTTAATTGTTGTTATGTTTTTAACACTAACCCATACTCACACACACATCGTTACCACAGTCAAAGGTATTTAAATAATATAACGTTATAACGTTACTTACCATTAGTCATTTCATTCATTTGGTCTCGTCTCTTGACCATCTCCGCAGGGGTGTAACGGGTGTAACAGGGAACTCCATCATTAAATGTACAGCTACACCTGTAGTCACGGGCCCTCTCAATCTCTTGAGCGCTGTCCTCGCTCACATAATGCCGTACGGACTGAAGTGTCTCAGCCACCGGGTCGTTCAGCAGTGGTTGCTCCTCTGTGGTGTCCTCATCCTCTTCAGCATCCGTGGTCTGAGGGCTGCTGTCAGTGTCAGGGCTGTCTGACTCTGAATCGGAGCCGGATAACGGGGAAACTTCAACCGGTGCCGTCAAAAAGTAATCAGTGATCAGCTGAACCCATTGCTCATCAGAGGCTGTCCCTCTCACAATGTTGGAGTTCAACAGTCTTGCGATTTGCTCTTCTCTGAAATCCATCGATCTGATTAGCGGCTAATAAATTGTCAAAGTACGGAGGAAAAATATTTTCGTTTTACTGGGTGAAGGTCGCGAGGAATAATGTTGGTTTATATAGTGTGTGTGTGTGTGTTTGTGTATTTTGCGTTTGTGTGTATTGTGTTGGTTTCCCGGGGAAAACCCTCACAAGAAACACCGGCTGTTGTTATGCCAGCTGTGACGTTACGTTACTCCGTTCTCCGCTTGTAATTATGCCTTTACAAGGTTCAAAGTTGTATTTATCATCTGAATTTGGCGAAACAAGTTTAATATTCTGAAAGCCAAGACTTTGTTTATTTGAAATCAGATGAAAATAAACTGCCACGGACTCTGCCGTGTTATTTATGATTACTATACGCTTTTCATTCATAATGTCAGCCGGGGGGAGGGGGGGCAGCGCTGCGGAAGAGCAGCGTGAGAGCTGTCATCTTCCCATTACAAGCTTCAAACATGTATTTATCGTTTGATTTTGGAAATAAAAGTTTCAGATTCTGAAAGCCAAGACTTTGTTTATTTGAAATCAAACAAAACACCAAAACCCCGAAAAACTAGTTTTTTACTCAAATCCACGTTTATTTTGAAATGAGCCGTTGCGACTTCCGACTGATTTCGATAGAGCGGGTCACATATACACGTGTAAATACACATTTCCAGTAACAAATATAATGCAGGGTATTATTGTGAATCTGCCATATAAAATGTGAATATATATGAATATATATGTGAATATGAATGGTGGTATGTTCATTATATACTATCTTTAATATATTTTTGAAACAGTTTTCCTCTCCTGATATAGTATNGAAAAACTAGTTTTTTACTCAAATCCACGTTTATTTTGAAATGAGCCGTTGCGACTTCCGACTGATTTCGATAGAGCGGGTCACAAATACACATTACATATACAGATCATACATACATGTAATGGTCATCTACTGTGGACAATACCCACAGGAGCAAGTTCAGGTGAAGTGTCTTGCCCAAGGACACAACGGCTTTACAGACGCAGCGGCGGCGGGTTTCACCCCCTTGATCAATGCACTGCGCCACACCGCCCATCTTCACATCTCAAAGTCATCGAGGCGCTTTTACAAGTACACATTGACATTATACATGTACTGTGGACAATACCCACAGGAGCAAATGTACATTACATATGTACATTAATATAAGTCATATACATGTACATTGATAAATGGACAATATACATGAATTGAATTTAACTTCATTTGCTTCCTTTTTTAACATAAAGCATTTTTACATCTAGGCTATAATTACATTATATGTCACATTTACAACTGCAACTCTCTATGCATTTCCAGTGTGCCTTCTTGCATGAGCACCTTGCACCACAGCCACTTGCACTTTTACAACCACACTTGACGAGTTCAGTGCAGGCTTTCGAAGCCTTNAGTACCTCAAAATAAGTACAGTACTTGAGTAAATCTACTTAGTTACTACCACTACTGCAAGTATGTTGTGTGTGCTAGCAGCCCATAATCCAAACTATACATACAATAAATCAATGTTAATTCTGTTTCCAATTTGTTTAGTTTGTCCCTTAAAAAGTAACAAAAATAACCNACGGAAACTATAATTTAATTTGTTTTACTATGTTCAATCTGAATTTACTTTAAAATAAACACATCTATATTGATTCTGACTTTTATGCATCCAACTCAAAGGTGTATCATTGCTTCGAGAAAAAATATGATTAATTACCCCTTTTAGAAGTGAAGATATAGTCATATGTTCTGGGCATGTCATTTTCGAGCCTGAAACCTGAAAAACAGGCGTGGGGCTTAACAGGTTAAAAAATAACCTATAAAAATACTGTTCAAGTACCGGATCGATAAAACTTATTTGTAATTGTTTCAATTAGGCCTCATTATTTCACAATGGCACAGGATCATCTGCCAATACAAGCACTTTTGTTCAATCCATAATAAAATATAAAATTCTAGTTGGATATTTTTGTCTTGTTATTATTAGCAGAGAAAATGTAATGTTTGTACAACTATATACAATTAATTCTACCAATCTCGGTGGAAACCGGGTTGAGGGGAGCTTGAAAATATTTCCAATTACCCAAGGGGGGCCTGACTGAAAAAGGTTGGGAACCACTGACTTAACGTATGGCAATACAAACAATGTAGATTTATACATTGGAAAGTCAGAAGATGCAATTTTCTGTAAAAGTGTGTGTTCCTGGAGACCACCGTTATATTGGAAAAAGCTAAGCTCATTACTGCTCTGTGATGTCTGTTCACACAGGGGAGGCACACACACATTTGCTTCATGTCGGGCTTTTTCACAGATAAACTCTTAAACGCTTCTGTGCCCAGAATGATGTAGACCTCAAATTAGCACAAGATAGCAAACGGTATGTGTGCCTTTGTACAAACAAGCACATGTGGTTTGAGCATGTGTGTCCCTGTAGTTAAATATGTGTGAATTTCTGGGTGTGTATAGTGACAGTGCCCTACACCAGACACTTTAGAGAATTTGGGACGGACACAAGCACAGCTCCAAATGGCTGAGCAGACGGCAACCTGCGTGGACTGCAGGAGCCGTTTTGGACACAATAACCCATGGGTGGACAGTAGAAGGTTGTCTGGAATCAAACCGCGACCTCAGTGAGTGTGTGCGTGTGTGTGTTTGCTTGCATATTATCTGTGCAGGTAGGCATTGAGGGCAGAGAACATTGTGGAAGGTTAACAGTGTCCATTAAGCCTTTCACATGTTGTCGTCATCACACCTTTCCAAACACTTTCACACACTAAAACAGTATCTGCGGTTCATAAAGAGCTGAAGTAAGGGTTGGGTTCTGTTTGATAGACAAATGTTAAAGCAGTGAGGTTATAGCATTGCTTATAAAGTATTTATGTTCTAATAGCCTTTAAGGAGCACTGTTACTAAAAAGCCTATTTGCAGTTTGACAGACTGATGCCAATTGAACGTTGAGATGTTAGATAAGGAAGCGAAGATCAAATGGGGTAGATCATTTTTAGAGAGCCAGAGATTACAGCTAAAACAGAAGACAATAAAGCCTCCCCTGGACTCCTTTGTTTACTTCTGTAATGTAGTGACATTACCATGTCAAATTCTAGCTTATTTTGGCAAGCGCTCTATCACATTGTACATGATAGGCTAAGGGGCAGGACGTCTTTAAGTGGTTGATCAATCACAACAGAGCCGGCCAGCTAACCAATCAGAGCAGACTGGGCTCTGGTTTCAGACAGAGGGTGAAAAGGGGTGCTGCAGCAACCCCCCCCCCACCCCCACACACACAAACAATAAACTGGACTGGAGTAAAAACACTGACACCCTATATAAGAAAGGCCAGAGTCGCCTGTATTTCCTCAGGAGACTCAGGTCCTTTAACGTCTGCAGCACTATGTTGCAGATGTTTTATGACTCTGTGGTCTCCAGTGTGATCTTCTTTGCTGTAGTGTGTTGGGGCAGCGGGGTGAAGACAGCTGATGCCAACAGACTCAACAAACTCATCAGGAGAGCAGGCTCTGTCCTGGGAGTGGATCAGGAGTCGTTGGCAGTGGTGTCGGAGGGGAGAATGCTGAGGAAACTTCTCAGCATTCTGGACAACGGGTCTCACCCCCTGCATGCCACACTGGTTTCCTACCGGAGCACTTTCAGCCATAGAATGATATCACCGATAACCACCACACAGCACCACAAGAGGTCTTTCCTCCCAGTGGCAATCAAACTCTTTAACTCTTCACCCCTAAGTAAAGGGAACTGAGAACTTCCACACCAACACTATGTGCAATATACATATCAATATAATTAACATCATTGCAATACACTCGCTGCTATATAACTATGTGCAATATTATATTATTATTATTAGTATTATTAATAATGCTATGATAACGTGCAATTACGTAACTGCTACTAAGTTTTATTTTTTGCACTACTAACTACTAAATACTGCTAATAATTGCATTGATTGTGTGACCATCTATGTTTCTACGTTTCATGTTGTCTGTAGATGTTTAATTGCTCTTTTTGCTGCACTTTTAGTGTACGGTTTTGCTATTGTGCTGCTGTGTTTATTGTGTTTATTGTATTTTGTTACTCTGGCACAACAATTTCCTTCGGGATAAATAAAGTCTTATCTTATCACACACACACACAAATCTGTATCTGTAATCTCTCCTGGACTCATCTGCCTCCATCTTACAGTCGTTTATAGACTGCTATAAAATAACATCTGCTGCTACTCCAACTAAAATGAACCTGGAGTATTCATTTAAATTAGATTAGAAAAAAAGGCATGCCTTAACTCATTTAGAGGAAGATGAACTCTGAAAACTGGGTTGCCCTGACCACCTGTGAGGAAGTGGATATAGAGAAACAAATGCAGTTCATTCAAGCATTAAGCCTTAAATAATAAAAATGTCCCTTCCAACAATGGCATGAGATAATTGTACTCATCATCTGTGTAGTTCAGTAAGCTTGGTTAAATTAACTCATACCTTCAGAAAGAAAATAAAGATATGGATACTAGAAAACATATCAAAAGATTTATCTTGCTTGGCTGGGTAACCAACTTGCGACCTTGTGGACCTGAATGCAACATTTAGAAAATCAAAAACGTTAGCTTACAAGCTTGTTCTAAACATAGGACCATTGTACCAAATGGTTGTTTGTTGGACTTTGTAGCACTGGATGGTTGTTTGTGGGGATTAATGAATATAATAAATATGCATTGCATAACTGGGACCATGACGATTATGATCATATTAAATATTACCAGTTCCCTGTGCTCTTATCTGCATAGGTGGGCGTCTCCAAGAGTTCAGCTTTAAAGAGTATATGTTATATGCATTGCCTCTTCAGTACTGTACATACGCCAGCGTAATATGAAGCGAATGTTTGTTTCTTCCTCTGGCTTAGCCAATTCTAAGCCCTGTAAACCCCTTCACACGTACAGTTAGCCTCCCACTCACTGCTTTCTTAAC